TTAAAGGAAACTTGTATTTGTTTAACAGATGACTATCAGTATCTGGGCAACTGCCCCTACCCCTCCCCTAACCCAACATTAACCCTGACTTGTTATTTGACTGTTTTGAGTTATCGCTCTATTTTATAAAGCCTACGCTCTATTTTTATAAAGTACTGTTCTAGTGGTCCAGAGGCTTCCAGACGGCTAACGATCCTCCCTATTCATCAAAAACCAGAACGTAACTCATTTCTAATATTGGGAAGAAAACTGTTGCACGACTATGTGTGCACTGTGCCGTCTAATAACCAAGTTTCTTTATACACCTGCTGAAATCACACACTCGGTATGTTTTAGACTTGGGTTAGAGAATTGCGTTAAGCAAAAGAATTAAAGGGTTATTACAGATCAGCTTTTTTTCAGCTGTAATAGTGCAAAAGTGTGAATCACATTGAAAAAGTAAATTTTACATTAATCAGAGGTATTTTCGAGGCTTCTTCTAGGAGAATTGCTTAGGCTTAAGTTTTGGAAGGTTCTCTGAGGCCCACTTTAGCATGTGGTCTTGGTAAAACATCATAGTTGAAGGCAAGATTTGATCTGTTCTCACCATGTCAATCTGCTCGCACAGAAATGATTTGGAGGGATAATTTTCTCAATTACCCTTTACATATACTGATTCTCGTAAAATTGAATTTCGTAAAAGCTCATGATAACAATAACTTTCATGGCGGTAATCCAACTTTAAGTCAAGAATCATTAACAATATTACTGGGGTAAAGTTCTTGCATTTTGATTGATCGTCGTCTTTGTAATGATTTCGAAACTTGAAGTTGTACTTTTATAGCATCGTACCACTAACACTGTCGCATTCACAGACCTCCTTCATCCAGCGTGAGTTCTTCCTATGGAGGCAGTACCATTTCGAGTACCCTCCTGGTAATAAAATACAATGTGACCATTGAATTGATGTATAACTGAGACATCGAAATCAATACTAGACGATAATAGAAGGACAGGGCAGATCCAGAATCTAAGGGCCGGTTATTTAAACAAAGTCTAGCCGTTGTTTAACAAAACTATGTTCTAAGCCATCTTCAACTTAGCCGAACCTTTTATCTGAACATTCATTTTTGTGGACAGTCTCAAGAAGTCCGTATGCTGATATTGGAAGGACATCTGTTTAATTGAATCAACCCTTTTATAAAAAATCCCTTAGGCCCACCGCTTGCGTGAAAGCGCGGTTTGGGTCAGACCTCGTGTAAATAACTGACCCAAAGTATCTACGTCCATGCTATGTGTTTTTTAGTTCTTGAATAATGTGTGGACCATTGACGTTTTGAACTCTCATTGAAAATTCTTTGAAAGCTATCGTCAGTAAAGCATATACTTCTCGGGAAATACATGTGCTGTTTTTGAGGCTTCAACAAGGTGGTATTCTCGAAATACCAGGGAAGGATTTCGATCTATAATAAATACTTTTGCTTTTCAGCTTTTAGATGGACCTTAAAGAGATAAGCTCGAGGCCCTTGAGTTTTAAGAATGCTGAAAATCGCAGTTATCATCAGGAAGGCGGCCCAGTTGATATTGGGGATGTATCTTATAGTAATTAAAAAGGGAAATCAGTAAACAATTCTAAAATCATTCTTCGTTAATAGACGACGACAACAACAGCAAGGGAAATAACAACACTCTTGACTGAACAAAATAAGAATGAAAAGTTAAATGCAATCACGCTTTAGGAATAAACCAAACAAGATTTATGTAAAAATGAACATTCAAATACTTTTGTGGTAGTTTATTGACGACATCCACTGCAGCCATCTCTATTGTAAAGAATGTATAACACTGGAAACGGATCGCAAATATTACTCTTCTCTATGGCAATATAACACTGATCATAGATATAGTAACACCTCAAAAAGCAAAAGGAATCTATAAAAGATCAAACGACTTGTTAGACATCTCGAGAACTTCAGTAATGTACGTGGAGTGGCGATCCTTTTACGACATCAACTCAAGACGTTAATTTTACAAGAAATTCTAATTTTTTGAAATTTCAGTTTGTCCTATGTAAGCTAAGTACCCATGATTTGCCCTATTGGCTATAAGATGTTTACTCGTCGATCTCGTCAACTGGTCCCATAGCCGGGCTTCTTCCAACTTCGCAAAGGATCATGGGGCTAAACTGGAGAAAAATTATTTTATTCCGCATCCAAGAAACGCCTGTTGATTTTCAAAGTTGTCAATGCAATGAGAATCACATTAAGTCAAAACAACGTTTACGTTTCAAGATTTGGAAAAGTGGGCTTAACATTTGAAGTGAATCCTGACTCTCACTGGGGAAATTGACGAGGATTTAAGAAACTAGTTTAAATGTAACGCACTAAAGCGATTAAATTTCTGGTTTGATCATCGCTGGTAAACCTCCAAATAAAATCCTTGAGAACTACTGTTGTCAGAATGGCATGTATTTAAAAGCGTTTGAGTACTCGGAGAGATTCTATTAAAACTCTTGACAGCTGAATGAAAAAACTCCAACAAGAATCAATATACTCGGAGTCAAGTACACTGTATGCGAACTGGCTCGGTGAGGAGTTAAAATTCAGCGCAATATGTACTGTATTTGCTGATTTGGTGCCAGAATGAAAAGATCAACCACTCGTAAGTTAATGTTGTCATGGCCATGATGAAGTAACGTAAAATAACCACTTATTCGTAGACTTGACAGTTCTGTGTACTCAGGTGTTTCTAACTTCAACTAAGATAGTTTATTTTGTTGAGCCAGCTGTATTTGACGCTAAAAGCCCTGAACTGAAAACTTGAATAAATGATAATGGACTCCCCATATTACTTTGCTTTTAACAAAGAGGGGACAATGTTATCATTGACAGCTAGTAAAGTGTCTTAAGCGTGATAATGTTAAAATTATTTCGTCTTGAAATATTGAAGAAAACATCTTGGCGAGCTTGAGATAATTATTATCCCATTAACGCTTTGATATGTATAATTACATTCATCAGTTAAAAATCTTCTTAGCAAAGGACTGGAATCACTAAGTACTGTCCGTAAAACATTGTGACATCAATATTTGTTTCAAATAATAAGGAAAAAAATGAGCAGTTTTTAATAATTTACTCGTGAGCATCATTAAGTCCGATTCTAGAGACTCGAAGCAAGAGATATTTGTGTAAAAAAAATAATGAAAATGACAGGTTAATGAAAAGACCAAGCAGCTGGTGTATAATTCAATTACTTGTGGTACACGTGTAACTTCTCAAATAGCTCAAGAAATGAGTTGGCAAAGGCGTTTTTCTCTGAAACAACCAGCAGTGCAGAAAATCATATAATAAAAGTAATTTCACATATCGACCGGGCGAATTTCTCATCCGATAAGATTCAGTTTAAAGACCCTTTGTAGTAAAGCAATTTGGTTGTTCTCCGAAAAAAGCAACGCACCGAAGTAGACCGACAAGTCAGAATATTCTGCTGGGGATAATTACTTGATTTTTGTATGATCATGGTTACTAATTATAACATATTACTTCAAGGGAAAAATTCTGAGTGATATGTCGGCATTAACCTCGACACTACAATATCACTTCTGAATCACGCATCAAGGTCACGATCACTGATCGCCAACTAAAGAAGCTCCTAATTGTTAAACAAACTCTCCGTGTCAACACCCAAGGAAATGTATAGAGAACGCTACGCGAGAATATGCATACTGATGTTAGGGTGTAAAGGATTAAAAAAATTTTCTATAGAAAACTATATAGAATGTGTCGTAGTAAGCTGTTGAAACACTTGAGTGCTGTGTTAGCAACTCAACAATTATGAGTCATGGTGAATTTTGGAAAAGGTTCTTTCACAATTAATTCCTTCACGGATCAATCCTCATAAGCAAGCTGCTGCTGAAGCAGTTGCAAGAAGAAGGGGTTTCGGTCACACTCAATAATATCCAGGAGTCAAGTGTTCCTTTCGATCATGTCAACGTGTCCAGTTTTGGATGAATATCAACTCCTCTGATTTTTTGCCTTCATTTCTTTTGGCTCGGATGAAGGGCTAGTGATAAACTAGCGGTTTATCAGTATTCATATATTGATTTTAGTTAGGTGTGGTCTTAAAAATCAGCTGAGCTAGGCTTCTTTTCAGGAAATCAGTCTATTTCTGATACATTGTATTAGTATTAGATAAATTGTTTTTCAGTACAGCTACCACTAAAGTTTATTTCATGTTCCTGAAAATGCTATTCATTTCACTTCATATCTTTTACTATTGTTCAGATGCAGAAAGAGTTTCGGAGCTCGAGGTGATTCCTAACACTTTGATTTATCATAGTTTATGTAACGATCTTGCAGCTTCGAGAAGTGGCTTTTGAAGCAACGGGCCGCAACGCCATCGCATTCGCAGAGCTTCTTCTGACACTTGCTGTTTCCATATCCGAGGAACCACAGGAAATGATATCCTCCTGAATTGGAAAAGTAACATATATCCATTGATAACCTTTAGTATTTCTGAAACGCAGCCAGTATCTGCAAATGGATCTCGAGAGTTTTATTATCCAGCAGTACACTGAACCGGCATTCCCTTCCACTAACACTCTTATCTCCCCCCCGGCACATCTTGAAAATCAAACGTTGAACCCTGAGGTTGTGATTGATAAGTACACTTACTGCAGCCGCTGCACCCCTGTGTCCGGTATGTCACATAATACACTGCATTAGGATCTGGGCCACACATCTTTGTTCTTTGTATGTCGCCATAACAATTGTCGTGGACATAGCAGCATCTAACGAAGAGATTATGTGAAAAGAACTATTATCATGCATTGTTTTGTAGTTTATGATATCGGTAACGAAGAAAGAGTTGAAAATCAGCTTTAGAAAAATTACAGAACAAAGAAGACAGGCATTAAGATATCTGAGAAAACGTTTACACCTCTCTCGCAGGGTTTTTGTGCATAAAATACTGTTTTCTTGCTGTTTTCGTTTGTTTGATTGCTTGTTTTGATATTTTTTTCGTTTTTTCTTTACTTTGTTTTATTTTTGTTCACAGTTTCGTATGCTATAGATTTCTTTCACTGGTTAACGTAACATGTGATCAATTGGGCCAATGCCCTATCGGTGATTAACGTCTAAAGTTTTTTTGGGAAATGTGCAAATAAGGTTCCACATCTGTTGATAAACGTCGTCCTTCTTGTGATCATGGTGTAGGGGGGGCTAAAGCCATAGAGAGAACAGATAATCTGTGTTCTTTCGTTAAACGCGTCGATTATAGCCGTTTCTAACAATATATCCTTGGTTCCGTCCATTAAAACTTAGTTCTACATGTGTTTTACAGCTACTTCTGAATTAGACCCTGAAAACTTTACAAGGCTAGAATATTTATAGTTACAGGTCAATCTCGTCGAGAGGTTTCCCTTTCCCTCCTAATCCACAGAAGCACCCGTAGCCGTTAAGGACTGGCGATCTCAGATCTTTAACTTCACAAGCGATCATGGCGCCAAATTGCGCAACATTCCTCTCCTTCCGCGTCACTAAATTATCTGGTTAGAAGAAAAAAGATAAAAACATGCAAGAAACTGAACATTTTCCATCTCTTGCGGCGATGATTTTACTTGTGTTTGCATTTGCACTGGGGTGGTATGCACGTGTATTTCTTTAAGTTTGCACCAGATGAAGGCATAGGCCCTCTACTGCCAGTGTACCTTCCTCGCGACCTTTGGAGAGAGGTAGCTCGGGAGCAAAGACGAGACTATCGAACAAAAGGGAATTACACCAATCGAATCTACAAATTTTTATTTTCAAGCTTCAAGGTAAGAGTTAGGGTTAGTGCTATTCGTTACACTGTCTCCGAATTTCTTATACCATTTGTTGAACATACCTTGTTCATCGCTAGTGGAGTCCTTTTCTTCGATATAATTGTGTAATTTCTTTGAAGAAAAATGGACATAAAATGCCACGTTGAAACATGATATAGTTGTTATCAAGAAAATCCTGAAGTATTTAATTAAATGATAAGTCAGACGATACCTTTCCCGTTGGAGGGGAGGATTCTCCACCTTTAGGGGTTATTGCCAGAGCAATCAATAACCAAACGCAGATCTTCATGATGCAATGTATTGAAAATTGAATCTTCACAGAGTACCAGTGAACTTATCACTTGTGCGTGAAGTAGATTAGATTGAACAACACTGAACCAAGCTGTTCTTAATTGTATAGCTTTTGTTTAAGTAAGTCACTCAATCACATTTGTGCATATTAATTAACACGTATGTTTGCTTCTGTCAGTGTCAATGGAATATTCCCTTAATCAAAGCCAAACAAGGATTACCATGGATAATGTTCTGATTTCTGCTCATTCACCGATAACACTTGCAATAACAACAGCATAAACAACGATAAGGACAATAAAAATAACAGCACCAACACCAACATCTTTCATTCGTGTGCAATTTTAGTAAATCCAAAGGTTATATAATGGGGTAGTGTTTCTCCCAAACAAGAGCATAAGCATAAGCATTGGTGATCAAAAAATACAGTATTGGTTATTGAACCTAAGAATTTAAAAATTATTTGAACCCATGAAAAAATTGCCACACTTTAAGAAACTGCTACTTCTTGATGACATGTATTCATGTTATAAGATATTTATGACAAATGGCAAATCAACACGAAATGAACAAACGCACCTGTTGTCAGAATTAGCTCACCTGATATAGGAAATAGAAACTAATCCACTATTGTTGCCAACAACGCAAAACTGACAAAGAGAAAGCACTTTCTCGTCAATCGAACTGAGCTACTTGAACTGTTAATTCATTGAAACAAAGGGTTCAATGAGGGAAAGGTAAAAGTCCACCAATCAATACCCTATGGTACTGCAATTATTATTCGACATAAAACCAACAGATTTCAGTGTATGCCGTTTTTGCTTCAAAAACATTCGTCTGCTCTTACCCTAACTCTAAATTATATCTTGTTTTGATTTCATAGTTTGACCCTTTGCATCAGTTGTTATGAGTGTGCTGCAAGGAATAATTGACACAGGAGAGAATATTTTCCAGAATCCGAGAAACGACATTCGTATGAAGTTAGGAACTGATGACGATTTTAGACACTGTGGTCCACAATTAGACAATAGTGTTTAATGTTGAAGGCTGTTATACGATTAATCGAAATTAGTATCCGATTTTGGACACCATTTATCGATTTTCAGGACAATATAGTCCGATTTTGGACACTACTGTTCGATCTTAGACACTATTGTCCGAATTTGGACACTGATGGCTGATTTTACGGACACTTGCGTTGGATTTTAGCAACTAGTTTCCAATTTTGGACTTTATAGTCTAATTTTAGACAATGATGTCCTTGGAATTTTTTTTCTAATTTGATTCCTCAGCAGGTAAGATGCGGGGAAGCAAAACCTTCATTCCATCCATCTTGACAAAAAAAATTGCCATAGAACCATTTTATCGGCCTTCCTTAGACTCAAGTGAAAGATAACCTAGAAAATGACAATGATATGATTTATACAAGCTACGAACGAAGAATTGGTTATATTTTGCAAGGGGCTGTAGCATGTACTTTACATTAACACGATATTCTGTTATGTACAAATAATTCAACAATGTGTGATTTAAAAAAAAGAATGATAGGAGTAGTATCATTTATGTCTGAAATTGCAGACGCAGTCAACAAATTCATCCTTCTGCAGTTTTTAAAAACGCATTAACAATGAACTGAACTTTGGAAAGACCTCTCCTGAGAGTCATTATTTTCTTTGGATAATAATTCCTCGGTCTTTGCTGAAATGTTATTAGGCAATTTTGCTTCGTATATCCTCTCGCGTCCTCCAATGGTTAAAGCGGCCAGAGGAAGATTGCGAATGGTGGATGCTGTTTCTTTACGAGTGCATTCACGAAGGCAAGTCCGGATGGCCTTCTTGAAATCTGGTTTCAGAAACGCGTACATAAGTGGATTTACCAATGAACTGGTTGCTATGGTGAAAAAGGAAATAATGGACAGTGCATATGGGATGATGTTAGGTCTATTAAAGATGATGTCTGCAGTTGTTATGTAGACGATTGGTAGCCAGCAGAGTAGAAAAGCTGAAGCAACTATGGAGAAAACTTTGGCTACTTTGGCTTCAGAATGCAATCGTTTTCGTTCGTTCTTGTGCACTCTAAGAGAATCCAAATTCTTTTTCATTGTCAGGCTTCGGCGAACTTGCTTAAACATTCGTACGTAGGCAAACGTAATGAAGATGTAAGGCAGGATGATGCCGAAAAACATCATGCAGACCATATATGCCCTATGTATTATTCGAGTTGAATCAGTTTCCCAAAACAGAGGGAGTAAGGAGTAAATTGCTGGAAGCACCCACGAAAGTGCGAGACCTATTTTGAGTTTCTTAGGCGCCCGATATGAGTATTCCAGTGGCTTCATTATGGCAACATATCGATCATAGGTCACAGTGCATAGATTTGCAACACCAGAGAGCAATATCATACACACTAAATAACCTGTTATAATCGAAGAAGGCTTGATGAGGTAGACAGGCAGCAAAACTCCTCCTGTTAAAATGTCCGACACGGCGAGTGACACCATTAGCCAATTGGTGTTGGTTCGAAGATCTTTCTTGAAATAAACCAAGAGGCAAACGCAAAGGTTCGATAAAACGATGAGAATTGAAAGAATGCTCAGAGATACTACCACAAAATCCGCGTTGTGATCAGTTTCAGCCATTTTTCGGCAGAGCACGTTTTGATGCAGCGCTGACTTCTATAATTGTCTTCCTTTTGTGTTTTCCTAATAAACGTATTCAACTCTGTGGGCAGCTTGTTTTGGTGCGATAAAATTGCCGAAGAGTTGACTATGGTAGCACTTTGTTGTCATTGATCACCAGTACCAAGGTTATTCCCGACTTTGTGGTTGTCTCTCGTAGGTGTTCAAGCGATGAATATATTCTACAATCTACAATCTTGAAAATCTTTGATAGTTTCCTAATCCCGTGCTGAGCGTAGTACCGCAATGATTTCAATGTTGTTGGTTTTCCTTCCTTTATGAATAAATTGTAACGTCCCACGAGAGCTCATTAAAAAGCAATAAAGGCTTCCGAGTGTACAATTGAAATCCACCACAACTCTTTACAAGATCCTGGATGCATTCAGTTTGCCTGATTAAAGTACTATTTCTTACTTTCATTTGCACTGGTTACTTTTACGGATATTTTTGCGGTGTTGATACTCCTATCACGTTTTGTGCAACCTCTCGATCCTGAAAACCAATTATTGAGAAATCTACAACAAACATTGAGATCGGAAATGAATCTTAATTGCCCTTTGAAAAAGAAAACTAACCAACCACTTCAGTGGTGCTACTCAGTCGCATAAACATGAGACAATATTTATTTTCTTGTTCAACGCTTTGAAATGCACTAAAGAGCAATTAAGATTCGTTAATGACATACAAAGCTTTCTTCAGTATGAAGAGACTAGCCATAGAGCAAGTACATTATATTCATTAAAATACACTTAAGTACAGTCTTGTTTTGCATACGAAGAGAGCTAATGGGCATACTTAGGCGAAAACCAAGATAAACGTTCGGTAATGTTTTCCTCGTTTATGCAAAACACCATCATGAGTCACAGGAACGAAGGGAAGTCGAAAGCCTGTTGTGTTTCCGCATCAATATTGCCCACTTTCCACTGGAAAACCACCTTGATTTCTATTGGTATACCTTATTACAAATATACACTTTACAGCAGCTGAACCACGTACGAGTGTAATTTGTAATTAGAGGAAGCGAATTGTAGGCGAAATTAAAATCAGTTCTGTGAAAAATGAAAGATGTTGAAGAGTTTAAGGGCTAAGATTCCACAAAATTCTGCGTGAAAATCAATGGCCCGCTCAGGTGAAAGAGGCGATAATGTAACGATGTTTATTAAAACAATCGTTTCTGCAGGATGATCACTTCTCATGCTAAAGGTCATGTTCACCTCCACACTTGATCACACAGATAAAGAACTGATCTTCATTATAAAAAGAAAAATGATTTAAAGTAAAGAAATAGAAGAAAGCAAGGTTGCAAAGAAGACTCCTTTTTTCTCAAAAATGTTTTTGTTGCCTGGCGGCTTTCTTTACGCTCCTAAAGATAATTGTAGCTGTGTATTGTTGAACTCATGCCGCAAATTGCGAATAACATTTGCGACAATCATTTAATTTTGAATTTTCAGTATCTCTTAAATTAGCTTTCTCTTAAAAAGCGAAAGCCACTTGATTATTAGTGAATAATTTGGAGGTGATCGTCTCAGATCTTAGAATGTCTTGTCTTAATTTATCACATTCGCAAACGGGTATGATCAAATTCTTGGCCAATAAAAATTCAAGTTGATAATTAGAATATGCCTAATTTTTTGTTGGCTAACTAGATCGTTATTTTACTGCGTCGGTCTCTGGAAATGTTTCTTAAGTAGTATGGCTAGTTTTTAAAATTTGGAAACTTACATCTCTGTGGAATTACCTATTTTCTTTCATCCTTTGTTCAAGTGTTTACCATAGCCAAGAAAAGATTGATTGTGGTGCAGATGGTGGACGATTTTTTTCCTCTTAAGATGAAAATTTGCAAAATAAACGAAATGTGTTCATAGGTAGGCCACAGAATATCTAAGCGAACAAAACATGTGCAGCAACTTAGCATATCGCTCTACCTTCTCTTCGGCTTTACCCAATTCGGTACAGGTAATTTGATGTGCTGTAAACGTGCCAAGAAGAACGTTTCATAGTGATAAAAAAAAGCTAGACGTGGTTGTTGTAACGAGTTGTCAAGAACCCTCGTTTTCAAACACGAGCTGAAATGATTGATATAGTCGTTTCTTACCTTGTCGATGAATCGGTTAATCGATCAATCCATCAATTTATAGACCTTCAATTGCTAGCTTTGAGGGTTAAATATACACTTGAAGAAATCAAGTTGGTTTAATATAACAATTCAGTCTTAGATATATTTTTAACTATTACTGAATAATAAACAGATGCATCAAACGAAGCTCAGTTAACGGTCATCTTAGATGTAAGAATAAAGTTTAAATTGGATTTTTTTTCATTGCAATTGTTATTTCACTGTAAATAATCATTGCCACCATTTTCCGATATCTGTCTCTCTATAAAATACACTGTGATGTTACTGATTTAATTTTTTCTTCTTATGTGTATTTCTTGGTAGCTATCCATCTTTGGTTTACTATTCTTACCGGTTGCATGCGCATATTTTGAATCTCGTTGTTTTATCTAACCTTTGCTCCCCCTCCCACCATAGTTACATCAAGCGACGCACGGGGCAAGAATTCCTTAAACCGATTATGACAACAAGAACAAACGGAATTTTTATCCGGCATCTTTTACTTTTTTATAGGGGTTGGGGTGTTAAAAGATAAGGCTAACATTTCCGTATCTCAAGTCATCATATGGCGAGTAAGCACCACATCAAATCTATTGAACGGATTTCAGCCACTTCGATGATCCATATCGATGTTAATTAAATATCTGCCACTTGTTGATACCAGTTTTCTCGTAAGCATAAAGATAATCATAAAAGTGGAACAGTGTCACATGCCATGTCGTGCTCCTTTTCACGTTTTTCCAAAAAATTGCTAAGTACCATTATATGCAACATCTGGTTGTCAGACAAAACTCACGAATCATGCATCCGCCGAGTCCTGTGAAACTAATTTTTCCAACATAAGTTACATAACTGTTGATTTAATGAAAGTGAAAAAATATTCATGGATTAAGTCATTAAGTGGTGATAGGACTAATTGTTCATGCCCGCGGCGGTCTTGTAACGGGCTGTTTGATTAGTAGTATTTACTAAGTATTTTGGCTGGTTTGGAATCAATTAGTGACAGCGAAACTAGAAAATAACAAATTCTTTTCACACACATACTAGAGTTATCTTAAGGCGGAGTTTGGTTCTGTTTGATGAATTCCAAGCGTTATATTCACAGTTCTCATAGGTCGGTTTCTTTGCCATGTTTTTCATTTTTAAGGTTCTTTACTATCACAGCAACATCAATAACATATGTTGAATCCTGTTTCAGAGTTGACGAAGGAGTTCGGTTAGGAAATCTTTTTTTGATAATGCCCCGGAAGTCGGGTTTGAAGAAAGAGTAGACTATTGGATTGACCGCAGAGCCCAGTGCGACAGTAAACAAAGAGAATTCCAAAAGCCACACCGGCGATAACATTTCCACAGTGTTTCTATCAGTGATTGCAAACATAACGCTGGTCAAGTATAACACTGGCGTCCAACTTAAGAGGAAGGAAATAGATATCAGTGCAAACATCTTGGCAACTTTTGTCTCTGAAGCCATCGTGCTGTTAGAGTTTTTCTTCAGTTTATCTTTGTTGTCCCGTTTGCCTCGCCAGCTGCCGAGACTGCTATCTCGTCGTAAACGCTTGACAATATGCCTAGCTTGCTGAAAGATCTGGTAGTAGGCTATACACACAAATAAATACGGCACAACAACGCCCATACCTTGTAGCATAAACATGTAGATTGTTTGAGCTAGTATATTGTCTTTTGACCCCCAAATGAGAGGAATGATTGACACAAACAAAGGAACAATCCAAGAACCTACAATGAATTTGAAGAAATATCTCCTCATGACGGCATAGTAATTAAAAGGTTTTTTTATAGCCAGGTATCTGTCTAAAGTCACTAAAAAAACATTGGCGACCCCCGTAAGCAAAATAGCGCTTACGATGTATCCTGTGACAGGGTGCATTGGCAAAGCAATGTACAAAGGCAAAAGGAGGGCACCTGTGAGTATGTCTGACACTGCAAGGGACACAACGAATCCATTGGTGTAAGTCCTTAGCTTGGGATGTAAATACACCAAGAGGCACACACAGCTGTTAGTAACTACGATCAGCAATGACAGGCAGCCCAACGGGATGGCAATTTCACTTGGCTGCATTAGCGATAGACGTCTCAACTATTGCAAAATTAAAATTCAGTTTATGACTTCAAGCGCTGTCTCCTTTTGATTGTTGGTTGAATGACGCGGCGAAAATTGATCCTGTTCTGTTATTGACCCAGATGTCTGGTTGTAATGTGCAAAACTGTGAGACTTCGAGGGATTTACCTATCGCACCAAATACACTGTTCAAGGGCTTGGGACGGAACGGTATTCAATGACAAGTCAGTTGACAAATTGGATATTCTATATGTCTCTTTTTGACCGGTAGGTTCGCGTGACATAAAAATTTTATCATTGTGCCCAGAGGCAGTAAATAGCGTGATCAACAAACCGCAAAACACTTTGCCCCTTCAGGTGTCCTTGCTCAGTAACTGAGTGCCACAAACTTATAAGTGCCATTTGTTGTAAAGCCGAGCCAAAACAACTTACTTCTCAGCCATGGAGCGATGAGTTGGATTGCTCGGATATTACTACTTAGATCAAATGTTTGTATACATAAACCTCTTTCATTGTACTTTTACGAAATTAAGTGGACGTCCGGTCAACACTTCCTGTAAAGATATAAAAGGGTTTTCATCAGTAAAGAGAACATTCTGTTCGTTAGCGTTAATGGTATGCAATACTTAAGGCTGTTATTTAACCATTTTGCTAAAGTACTGCTTGAGGAACGTTGACGACAATGAATTAAACTCAAGGGAAAACAGGTGACTACTGTAAGATAGCTGAATGAAGGAAGCACGATAGAGAACCTTCTAAATAACACCTTATAACACGATTAGCTTTTTTCATGTGTATGAAACAGCTTTAATTAACAAATTATTCTGGCTGCTTTCGCCCAACAGAGGGGTCCAATTTTGGAATGGTACCATCCAGTATAGGGCACAAGTTCAGGATATATACAATTTCATGACTCTGATGAAAAATATATTCCTACTTCTAGTCTTTGATGATTGGCAGACCATAGCTGCTGATTTCCATGATCCAGCACGGAAGCTGTAATTCTTTTGTAATCGCTGCTAATTGCCACGAATCGAAAAAATTACAGTACATGTTTCCTTAATGACACAGTTGAAAATATTAGAAAAAAAGATATGTTTAATGAGGTTAAGATGTTTTGAAGAATTCTAAATATTTATGCCAAATCGGCCCGAGGAATGAAATGATCCTCTCCCAGGTTAGCTTATGTGGGTCTAGGGAATAATTGGCTTTCCTCATGATAATGAACATCTAATAAGTATTAAGTTTCAAATGCACGCATAAATACCGCACGTGTGTAAAAAGGAAAACCAAATGAAAAATACATCTGAGCTTGCTAAACAGTGGCACTAAATGGTTAGTTGCGGAAATCAAATCCTTTATTTCTATTTGATTCGTGAAACTAGTTTACTCAAAGTATCATGCGGCTCATTCGATGTAATATAATAGCGCTAAAATGTTCATGACATTTTCAAGACAACGGACTGTTTTGACTTGTTTTTTTTTTTCCTTTTTCCGACTCAATTGTTTGACAATTGTAAATCGATGGCACAAGAAAGAAATGCAAGAGAGAAAATAAAAGGAGAAACCTGAGAAGTCAAGTGAAGGCAATCTCGAATTTTTTCCTGCTCCGATATCTTTATCTAAAAGTCCTTGAAAAAAAATGTGTGATTGCTATGTTTGATGCGGGAGGTTTGATAAAAAAAGAAATGCTGTGAAGTCGTGCACGCGTGGGAAGAAGGTAACTAAGTTTGTTAATAGTGAATGGTGGAGAGCGCCCTGATTCCACTCAAACCCTCATCCCTCACCACACGATCTTTGTCCAGTTTCCTTTTAACTTTCATCGAAAAAGATGAATACACTGCGCCTTTTGTCTGTCATTAAGTGTTTATGAGCTATATAATGTTAATGAGTTATTTACTCCCACCCAAGTTAAAAGTGTAACTGATAGATAGCGATAGAATAAAGGGTAATCCTTTTATCACTGTGGAAGTTGCAAAGATTTAATGAGATTTAATCACATACTTGTTTAGAAAGTAAAAATTGTATCTGTTTATTTCCAGGAGATGAATCATTTGTGTATACCCCCTATGTATACTGCTTGAGGAGGGAAACATTCAGTCTCAGATATTCTATAACAGGGGTTTGGTTTATAGCACGAAAATCCTGCAGAACAAGATATTCCGTTTTTCAAAGCTTGAATGAGAACTGTTTAAGAAATGAAGATTTTGCGCCAGAGTGGTTCCACCAAGATTAAAAGATTACATGGGTCGTGCACTTTGCTTTGTCTTCAATCATTGAAAACTGATTTTTTTCACGAGAAACTGGCAAAAAGAATTTTTCAAGCTCTTTGTGACTCACTACTTTTCCTGTTTGGACAAAAAATTCGATCGCAGCAAAAAGAGCACAGTAAATAGCGGACTGAAATTTTCGAAAGAGGAACGTGCTCTGACAGCTTGAAAGCTCCAAAGGTAATATCAGCTAAGCCACTCAAACACACCAAAAAAAGATAACAGATTGAATATTTTCACAAAGCATAAAGTGGACGATGTGATTTAAGGCACGGGTGCGCTATCCTCACAAGTGACGCGCCATTGTTTTCAAAGAGGATTGAGCCACTTGACTAATGCATGTTAAGCACGACGAGTATTGACAATGGCGTCTTCTCATATTAGCATTTGTTGCGCATTAGTAGTTTAAGATTCAAGTTACTCGTTAGAAAATAGACAAAAAAAAATTGCTCCCTGATAATTATCTGCTCACTGTTTGACAACAGTGAAACTTTGCAACTTTTGGGTGTATCTAGTAGTCAACTTAATTGTTGCAAGACCGACCTGCCTACAAACACCCCCCCCTCGAGGCCATCGAACTAGTCTGATCATTATCTGCTCACTGTTGACCGCTTAGCAACTTTTTTATGTATTTAGGAGTAAACTCCACAGTTGTAAGAGCTACAAGCTTGCAGAACTCCCCTCAGCATCACTAAACAGGCAGATAGTATGTAAACATCTCCATGACGACCTCTTTCGATTCCAAACGATTCATATTTCTATTATCGAAGCAAAGTCTTTGTTCCATTTTAATTTGTCTTTTAAAGGCACCAAAAAAACATAACCAACCTTCTAATGGCTCCAGAGTTGAACTAAACTTTAGAGCTTGATTTTAACGGCTCTATGGCAGCTCCTTAACCCTTCCACTACAATCAGTGAATCGTTTGTATTGATTGACTGTCAAGCAGGTACGTAATGAGAGACAAGGAAAGTATCAAATTGGGAATGTTTATTCCCACGTTATAAAATTCTCCCTGGCAGGCAACAAAGAAACGAATGGATACCAGCTGAGGGAGTTAAAGTGTAAATCCTGGTACGAGGAGACATGACCGGTTAACTAAGATGTTTGACTTTTTTGCACTTCAAAGGCACCGTCGCAGAAAACGCTAGAGAAATGAATATCACAGTATCAACAACAGGTCTGATAAACCGAAGGAGAACAAAGCGTTATAGTGAGGAATAACAACTGCGATACAATTGCAGTTGAAAACCGAAAATTTGACTGATAGGAATTTAATGAGCAAAAAAAACAAAGCTTCAAACTAAATGACATTAGCAGAACGTGTTATTATCGATAATGACAAACATCGGTGCTTTTATATTTTTATTAATTCCTGAAAGCTTGGATCGGGAGGAACATATGCATCAAACTGGTCGAAGAGTGCAGAAAAAAAAGGGAAAGAAATAATGACTATTGTTTAACAGTCGCAAAATTAGGAAAAAAGAAAGATGGTTTTAAAACTTGACATGTATATTTAGCACCAAAGCTGATTCATTACAAGCCAATTTTATTTACTTCTCACACGTCCATGAGTCAACAAAAAACGGAAATTAATTTGAAAGTATGAAAATAAGTATTTTCTAATCTATCAAAGTTCTTAATTCCAGATGGCTTGAACCCCTGTAGAAGGATAAGCTCGGAACGATTCTTGCCACGGCATTTTAAAAAAGTAGGTGTCTTTTATCCAAAATCGTATAACTTCAGCATTGGAGTTGATTAAGGTAGTTAGTTAAGACTTGAGTTACTTTTCCTTCGCATTTTTAAAGATTGCTGCTAAAAATTGAAGGTGCGTGTATGGTACCAAAACGATTCTGAAAAGTCCAGCCGTATGCATTTTTTCTCAGTTTCGTGAGTAAACAAAAGAAAAAAGAGCGATATTGATTCAAAATTCTTCAGAAAGAGACTGTTTCTTGGGATCTGTAAATTCCAAACACTCGCTTAGGTGGAGGGTATATCCTATTTTCCACTAGCTAATTTTGTGGCGTAACGGTGATGAACGTAATAATATAAACTGAGGCGCCAAGCGTAGAAATACTAGCTGATTAAATGAACTGCTTCGTCTGTAGTTTGTCACGGTGTATCTGTAACATTTCAAGGTCGCCTTTTGGACATCGTTTCAAACCTTATTTTTTCCTCCTCTATGTTTTCAAGTTATACCTCAGTAAACTGAACCAAATAAATACTCTGTGGTCACTTTCGGTTGAGACAAAAAAAATTGGTGGAAAAGGAAGGTTAAATAATGTCGCACCTGTTTCTAGTCACGACGGATTGTCGATATTTTGCAAGTGCGCGGAAAAAGTAAACTTTCTCTAGGGTCTACCGCTTAAACTGCTATTTAGGGCTGTATCCTCTAGACAAAGCTAATATAGAGGAACTTAAAAATTTGTTTGTGCAAAATGAAAATAATCTAAGTCCTCAATGATGATCTTAAACTCAAACCTCCCGACTACGTGTCGGATGTTCATCTACTGTTAAGTGAATGAGTCAGTATAAAAATGCTCATGGAATTCAAACTGATTGTGCCGACGTTCTTTCCAGATGGCTGGGCCGCGAGTTACGACGTTGGAACGGCTGTAACTCAGATGGTGATAAGCTTTAATAACTTTTGTTTCTCGGCATATTTTTTTATTCTTCTTCTTTTCAGATTCAAATCAAAATGAAGTGGTTGCTTTGCCTGGCTATTCTTCTTTGCTTGACTTCATTTTCTGATGCATGTGAAAGAGAACTGGTAAAAAACTGCACAAAATCTTATGTGACCCTGTTGGACAAGAAACCAGACGAGGGCTCTCACTGTACGCGCTTAAAGGTAACGTAATAGATGAGTAGGTTTTAAAAATACAGGAATTTACAAAACGTTGCAAATGAGTCGTCTGACTTAAATTCTGTTCACGGAAAATTGCGAAAAAACATTTTTCATGTAAGTTGTCCTTAAAGGTTTATACCTATCACCAGATGTAAAAATATTGTCATAAATGCACTTTCATCACATTGGTTTTGATGAATTAAACTGAACTAAGAAAGAAAATGTAGATAAAAACTTCTTTCCCAAAACAGGGAAGTAGAACTCGCGTCTTTTTAATAATTTGGCTGTTCACAGATTCATACCATAAGAGTTTATCACGGAAGATATCGTATCCTTATGCTAGCTTGATAATAATAGATTCACTGATAAAATCCCATGGACCTTGTAAAATATAATACTTGCAAATACAGACTTCACGAAATTGTAGCTTTCAAAAGCTGAAGAAACTCATCCACATTACGGATGTTATTATAGTTATACCATTTTACTACTGCAGGAGGTATTTGGCTGCTTTTGGTCAAACAGAGACTGCAAGGGTCAAAACATAAGACGGTGGAGAGGGTGGGTATTAATGGTTGCAACTTTGGAGAAGTTTCTTGACATATGCCCAAGGGACGATCAGCAGCTGCAAAAGTTCTACGAATACCTTCCAGATGACTGTAAGAACATATATATATAGTGTTGACTGTGGTTCGAAAAAAAGAGTCGTAGTCTATTCTCCTCTTTGTACTTATCCACTTTGCTTCATTCCACACCGTGACTAATAATTCGAAGGGGGGTTTAACAATATCTCGTGCAGTTTTTCTTTTATCTTTGACGATCGATATGGCCTACGTTTTATAACGCCGATTAATAATCTTCCTTATCCTCGTGTGTTTTTTTTTTTTGCTTATTTAATCTTCTCACAAATCATTTCCATTTCCCTTTTCTTACCCTAAACATGTAGCCAAACCAAGACGCATCTATGAGCGGTTAAAGGCGACACGTAAGTGGCTAATATCAATTAGAAAAATATTGTAGGAAAGTAAGTCTGAATAATATCTACAACTGGATGTTTCTTAAGAAATTAAACTCGTCTTAAAAATGTAGCTCTACCTCTCTTTAGTAAAAGGTTTGAGCTCGTGCCCCTTCTGCTCATCCAGAGTTAAATGACAAGGTAACAGTTTTAAGATAGTTTACCTTTAACTCCCACGAGTAACCAAGAGAGATTTTCTCCATATGATATCGTTACAACTCAAGCAGAGTAGTGATAGGAATAGAGAGAAATATCAATTAGGGGATTGTTAGTTCTCCCATACCAAATTCACTACGCTCACATCACAAGAATAGTATGGCAGACAGTAAGGAAAATTTCTAATTAGATTAAGCCTTTGATACATGCTCATTTTCACAAATATTACCTTCATAGCTATATCTGCTAAGGACAAGCAGTGCGCAACCCAAATCCACAACTCGTGCAAGAAGCAGTTCGTTGAGCTGGTCCGAAAAAATCATCGCATTTGTGATGATGGTGGCTACTGGCTAAAATGCTATGGGGAAAGCGGTTGTGACAAGGAGTCGGCGATTGTCCGCTACGCAAAGTTTGTTGCAGAGTTGGCGCCAAAACTAGTCAGTGACTGTAAGCGGTCTGAGCTGTGAAACCATTTGGGATCAAAAAATTAGTATAACCAGTTGCAAATTAGTATTCATGTTCCCTTATGCAGATTAAAAGTGAAAACTTCATTTTGGATAGTATTTTTTATCTTTATTTATGTCTACTAAACATTGAGTTAAGTCAATTTTAAACCTACCACTCATGTAATATCCTTAGGACTTCTCCTCCGAAAGCCGTCTATTACGACGTCTGCTAAGGTCATTGTGTATGACCTTTTTCAGTCGGCAGTTAAAATAAGGTTGTTTTAAAAGCACATAGTCCCGGCTAGGTTGTTCATCACAGTCGTTAGCTTTTATCGTTAATCGGAAGAAAACCCTAGTGAATGATACAAGAAACGACTGGAGTTTCGATCGAGGAAAACCTTAAACACATTAGGAGTTTTCACCAACACATTATTGATTTCCTCGGTATCTACGACTTAGTTTTCGAATTGAGCTCAGCTCATTTGCACTCAAGTTGTTCCTGCTGGTAAACTTACCGTTCAAAAAGGACAATTGAAAAGCACTGTGAAAAAACCCAACAACAACTCGACTTGGAGTTACCTTTAAGTTAACTGTTGTGTAGAGACGGAGGGAGGGAGTTAAATGATGAGACGTGTTATCAGTGATTGGCTTCTTGCAGTATATAACTGAATTAAATCAGATCTATTTATGAAGAAAACTAAGAGTTCGCAGTATTAATAAAAACGGGCACCTGTATGGCGCTTGTTTTTACGCCAGAACTCTCGCAGACCTCTCGCTGACACGCACTGCTTGCCGACTGGAGACACGAGAGTTTCGTCACACGTGTGGCGGTGCAAATGAGAGCGTGCTCGCACGGTAGAATCAACGAAGCCGAAAGTTTGCTAAGTACGTGGGCGGAACCTGGCCTGAACTGTATACAACAGGTGCTATGCACTTGTCCTCCATGATATAGATCTTAGCTTACTTTGTTCATAAATGTTTGGGAAACAAGATTGTTTTAAATGAACGGTTCAGGGAAAAATTTCAAAAGCCCAACCAAAAGTTTTTATTCGGGCATTCTCTGCCTTTGGCTAAACAGAAACTTCAAAGGTGACGGCGGAGAGGACGAGTACTATGATAGTTACAACATTGGAAAAGTTTCTTGATTTGTGTCCTGTAAGAACAAAACAGAACAAAGCAAAACTGATACAACTACTATCCTGCAGATTATAAGAGGACCTTACTTTTTTTGGATAATCTGGCGATTATTATCCACCAAATGATGGTTATATTTCCTCCGTCGTCCTCAAAAATGTTGCACGGCCTAGAAGCGCCAATGAGTACTTGAATACCAAGCGTACGTGGTTGGTAACTAATGAAGTTGCTTATTCACTCCTATCGTCAATAATTTGTTTGCCTATATTGTATCCCGGAACACTGGCCTTAGTTTTGATGTAAAGCTCGAGGACAGATAACTTGCAGAGAAGGCGTAATTTTGGCGGGCGAGTGCTCAGTTATCTTGATGAAATTATAGCTGCCACATTTGATTTTTTCAGTAGCGGAAGGCTGGAAAGTGAACGAAATTTGTACCGAGGAGTTGAGAGAGAAGGGAGGGGGTGGGGCAGTGAATATTCCTTCAGTCTTTCCCCGCCCCCTCCCCCCACCGTTGACTCTAACTCCAAATCAAACGTGGCCGGTTGAATAAACGATCGCAAGTGTCTTAACGGTTGACTCACCCAAATAAAACGTCTGCATTGCAGGCTAGAGTACAGAACGAAAGTATCGCCACAATATTCAATCTGAAAAAACACAACTGCAGTTTGCGACTTCAAAGGCGAAAATAAGTTTATCATGGATAATCTTTACACAACCATTCTGTTTGGGTGTGTAAAGATTCACAATGGGATACCTAATACATAAGAGGACGAGTCATCAGCGAACCTTTGCAAAACCAGAAGTCGCTCGTGAATTATACTTTTTTTTTTGTAGGTTACTTGACTACACACGAGCAGGCTGAATATGCATGATTATCATATGTCCAACCCGTTACCGTGGACTTCAGTTACTTGAGTCCACCTTAATTAACTATATCGTGTTGTAATACTGCCAATTCCACTCACATCGTTTTTCTTATCAATTCACATACATTGCCTTGGCACTACGAATATTGCTTATCGCCGTCTGTGATCCATGTTCATTCACTGATATGTTTTCCTTCGATACATTTCACGAGGAAAAGCCGTGCACAGCACAAATTTACGGAAAAGCCATCGTATCCGGGACGATGGTAGCTACTGGCTGGAATGCTACAAGGGAAGCACTTGTGACGAGTGGTTGGTTATCGTCCCCTTCGCTAATTTTGTTGCAGAATTAGCACCAGGACTGGCGAGCGACTGTAAACGGTCTGAGCTGTGAAACAGTTCGAGTTGAACCGTTGCCGAAAAAAGCCTTGCGAGCAGTTGCAAATGAGTACTCTCGTTCTCTAATGCATAATAAAAAGAGTGAAAACTTCATCGTATTTTTTTCTCAGATAACTTAATTAGTTCTGTACATAGAGCTGTGCCAATTTAAAACCTGCCACTCTTGTACGCTTATACTTGCACTGAGATATCTCCCGAAGTTTTCTTCGCTCATAAATTATTTCTTTATATCGTCATTCATCACCATTCCCTTCATTGTCTACGTTTTCTTATTAACGTTCTCTCCTCCTTCAGTCATCCTATAAATATCGCTCAATTGAACGGTGTCGCCACGAAGCCAAAAGCAAAGTGTAGATTACCCCACACCGTCAGTAACCATGATGTTTTAATTCGATAGAGGCTTTCACCCTTTAGGAAGATACATTTACCTAGACAAAAAGGAAAGAATCCCCCAAAAAACGCTACCCAGGGTCAGAAACCATACTAACTTTTAGTATCTCTCCCCGACAACAACTTTTCAGTTGAACAGGTTTTTCTAATTAAATGTTATTAAGCGGCCTCGTTAGATTTGTAAATCAAAAACGTTGTATAATTCGGTCACAATTTGCTTTTATTCCCCCGCAAAAAATAAATTCAAACAACGGGGTGTACGAGTCGTTCATGAAAATGAATGCGGTAAATTTAAATCGGCAATACCGGTTAGTCATCAATACCAAGTTTCAGTTATTCAATTTCAATATTAAGGTTTGTATGTTTCTTTTACAAATGAAACGAGGCTTCCATTTCCTTTCAGATCATAAGGTAAGCTTGTTATCACCTTCTTCAAACCGTCATCATTGTAAATATTATTTGTGTTTTTCTGGGGGCGTTTCAAGTCCGGTTCGTGTTAAACCGATTGTAGTGAATTGAAACGAATCAAGCGAGATTGGAAGAAGTTACTTCGCAGATTTCTTATTTTTTATTTCACCTGTGAATTATAAGTTGTCAAACTAAGAGTGTTTTAGTATCTTTTTTTCTGTTTTTGTCTTATCTTTCTGACTCAGCTTACCGACCAATTTCCGTGAAACACTTAAGCCGCTATTTGTACATCATCATTTTCAAATCAAGACGATGAATACGGAATCTATGTCATCGATGTTTTAATTTGAAATCTAAGTTCATCCGTTAATGCTTTATTGATTGGGGATGATATTCAATAATACACGTACGTCGTTGTCGCTCATTCTTTGACATTCAGGAAATTTTATCGGACAAGAGTCAATTACCATCACTCAGTGGAACCTAACTGACTTTACTCAGCGGTTAGGTCGAGCTTGACGTAATTTCCCTTGAAAAATTTTTTAGTCATTTACCGGAAAAAACACCGTGAACTCCATGATATCCAAACCGGTTTAGTTTCGTCTTTGTAGTTTGAGATAACAAGGCTCTACTTGCTGTTTTTAATAGACGGACGCGAAAAATTATTCAGTAATCATGTTTACTTATTGCAGTTGCCTTTTTGTAAAATTTCTCAAAAGTGTACATTGAATATTTATTTTTTGCAGCTGCTTTCTTGAGAAATTTCCCTTATCTACGTATAAAAGAAAAACTGTGCTTATGAAAGATCACTCTTTAAAGTGAATGCACTAGCTTTGAAATTGGGTACACTTATATTTTTGAAGAGCAGAAGAGGAACCTTTAAGTTAGCTTCAAGTTCAACAAAAGAAAGAGGTACAGATTTCTTAATATTAATTAAGCTCACCCTGAATGACAAGAAACGTGTTCTTTTCACCATTTCATATTTGGGCTGTAAAAAGACTTGTGTTAAAGAAAGAAAGCCCCTCCCTTTTTCCTTTGAGTGATCCCGAAAACTTTCGGGGGATGGCGGTAAATCGGTTCATTAAAAGGTTATTCATTAATTCAGCTCCAGGTTGTTAAGACCGCAAAGAAAAATCAACGATTATTTGGAAAATTCTGAACAATTTAGTAGTCGTTAAAGTATCACTGGCCGGTCGCATTTTCAGTGGAGAAATATCTTGCACATAATTCTTAAGTAAAGAGAATAAAATATCGCCAGTGCACTAAAAGAGTGTAGTTTATTTAAATTCAAACTACAGTCATGCTAAACGGTAGACGAACTATTCATAACTAATATTCCACTCTCATTTCAATAAACCATATCGTACCTTTAAACTTTTATTAGCAGCACTGTACCTATATGTAAGGAAACTTAAACCCTTTTCCTGTTAGTAAATTTACCACAAGGATTAGGATTGAGTGAAGTAGACAGCACATACCCACCCAAAAAGCAGCATGAAAACGTCGGTGTGGCTTCTTGAGGTAATTCTTGATTTTCTCTCGAAGAAACTGAAAATTACTTCATTTTGTTTTCATTCAGGATAACTTTAGTGCGAGGTATATTGAACACGCTTTGTCACACGAAGTGCATTCGAATACAATTTTTGTTTTTCATGGGTGGATGTACTGATATGTTCCTCTTGTGAAAATAAAATCTCTTCTCCTTTGATAATTTCTGACTATGTTATTTTCAAGATGGATGCTATGAGACGGACCCAGGCTATCCAAACACTGCCAATTAGAAGACACTTGCTATAAGGAACTGACTTTTCGAGCAGAACAAATAAATAAAACAAAACAGTTGTAAAGCCTGTGCTTCAGTGCCAAAACAGCGACAGTTATTTAGAGTGTTAGCACTGATTAGTGTTCTTGTTCATGAGGACTGAAGTAACACTTACTGAATAACTACAACAAAACCTTAGAACTGGATAGGATTTTCTGAAGTTAGCTTGTTGCCAATAGAGCTTGATTGCTCGAAACATTTTTTAACAACGCGTGCAACGAATTTTCGATTAAGTCTCCTACATCCGAGTCCAAGAAAAGTATCAGTTGGGACAAAGGAAAATATACCGAGAACCGATAAGCATAAGCGCGCGAAAATAGAATAAAAACGTCGCCATTTGTTTAATTTTGTATCTGATTGCACTTAATTGAGAGGGTGGCGTGATTTTTCTCGTCAAATCATGGAGGGAATAAAAGAAATCAATACAACCTCGGCTCCCTCTATCAGCACGTTTGGTCACACGTAGGAAAGGTAGTAACATTGGATGTACGTTACCAACTTTTGTCTTTCTACAGATTTCAACTCGGCCATCATGACAGCATCAAGAAAAATTGGAGTGCTTATTCTGATGTTTAGTATGTCCCTCTTGCTCACCTCTGTACGAGCAAATAACTGTGAAACCGAGTTGCTACACAGATGCATTTCTCGCTATAGAGAACTTGTAAAGGAAAAACCAAATAATGAACAGCATTGTACACGTGTACAGGTAAGACTGACGATATTAAGGAAAATTTCTGATCAAGTCTCCATGAATGTTATGTTTAAGGCAAGGCAGTCTTTTTTCCTTTTATTTCCCTTCAATTCCACGACGGTTCATGTCCCGATCTGGAGAAAGTACGATATATAGGGTAACCTCTCCTTTGGAGACATTTCTCGGATAAATATCTCATTTGAGACAGAGTAGTTTTTTTATCGAAACTAGAACAATCCGGAACAATATTTGCATGATAATTTGATTTTAAGACAGGCCCTGTTGTCCCAATGCGATATTTCCTTGGGTATAAATGCTTGTTCTCAGGGGTTTTCGTCATTATTATAAATATTTTTGGTATAATCTTCCAAAACTCCTACGAGCCTCTATAAAAGGAAGGCTTACTTCGTTCCTCGGCTGAGGATGCCCCCCTCCCCCCCTCCCCCACTCCGGAAGGAATATTCACTTTAAAATGTAAATTGCACCATCTCAATTAAGTAAAGGTAATAAGATGATTTTGGGTACAATTTGATGTTAATAAGCACGAGAAAATTTTTGCCAAACAGCAAAAGGCACGAGCCCGTCGGAAAAGTGCAATTTACAAGCGCTTATTACACCAAACTGCCCGAGAAATCATGTTAATACTTGTTATTATTGTGCATGAAAGAACATCATAGAAAGTCAAGACAGACGAAATTTTAAAAGTGTGCGCACGCTATTTGTAATTTGAAGATGTGTTACAATTTTGCTTTCGTGTTACAATTTTTCACTCGTATTACATGAGAATGCATTCGTTTTTCATTCGATTAGAAGCGCGTAATTTTTCATATACATTATTACAATAGAAAATGAATTCTTGCGTCGTAGGATCTAAAAGAGTTATTTTCTAATTAAACCGAAGGGGGTGGTCGATTGCTTTGCTGAAAATCCTTCTTGCCAAGGACAATCAATAAACCGATTTCGTTTGTGGATTCTGCAAGAGGCAATGCTAGAAGTAAAACTGAAGGTTTGTCCAAGGGTTAACCACGAAGGCCTTAAGGATACCAGTGAGAAGACAGGTGAAATAGAATAGATGTTGTCTTCGGCTAATCTCGATTTGGATGATGTCGCTTCGAGTTGTTCCATTTTGCTAGATGTGCACTTTAGTTTAAAAAGGGTAACATTTTTATAATATCTAGACACAGTGCCTTTGCATTCATGCTTCAAACCATCATTATATTATTTTATCTGAATCCAGCCATCCGAGTCCAAATTGCAATTTAAGATCAATGACAAAACATGGCCTTTACGCAAACTCTATTTCTGCCACAGGTGCTGCCGCGGGATACATGTTGGTGGAAAACTTAGGTAAGAGAACTTCTCTTTGGTCAGTTTTTTCTTAACGTAATTCCTCGCCCCAACGAAAAAGAAGGAGTACCTAAAGTTCCAAATTTCACTGCTAGCTCAAGTTTGTTTCTGGTTTTTATTTTTTTTTTTCTTAATTTGGCAAGGAATGTTTATAATGATGGTGTGTCCGACATTTCAGAAATTCATGTTGCTATTCTTAGCATGGGATATAAGGCCTCTGGACGAATTTGAACCAGAAAATTCTGTAAAATGCTAATTAAGTCATCTGTGCTCTTGTTGCAAACTAAATGGAATAAATGAAACCGATGTAAACTTCTATGAATCACTTTTAAAGCAGGGTGCTAATTGTTCATGCTGCGTTGCTGTTCTCGGTTTTTCAGATCAAGACGATTTTTTCAACTCTTGTGCTGTTCAAGTTCATAGGACGTGTAGCAAAAAATTTCTAGATTTGATGAAGGAAAACCAACGTATTTGTGGAGATTCAGTCGAGTGGTTTGCATGCTACAAGACTAAGGCCATTGAAATAAACTGTAACTCCCCCATTATAAAACAATATTCAAACTTTGTCGAGAAGGTTGGAATTCAACTCGTCAGTGATGCACTGTTTGCCAACTCATGTAACGCCGAGCTGTAGAAAAACTTTGACTGAACAAGAAAAGTTACTAGTGTTGTATTAAAAATAAAACTGAAGACTTTTTGACTAGGGCATCTCAATTATTTATATTTCTCCCATAGCTGTTAAAATTTCCAGTGCGGTGGGGGTAAATATTTACCACTTTCACCGACACCTAGGTGATGTTCTTGTTTGAGTATATAAATTCGTTGACACCAAAAAGCGTTTAAAATGAACCATGAGGCCATACGGCTTTATGAGTCAGATGTACATGATAAAAACCGTTTTTTGCACTCGGGAAATGATAGTAGCTTTTCAAGGTTTCAATTCCTGAAAAAAAAAATCATTATGAAAATAAAATGATTTCCCATGAAACACGAGGAAAGAGAATCACCGATTAACTGTTCGAACATTTCCCATAATTCGTTCACAGATCAAGCTTTTTAGGTGACACCGTTTCTGAAGTAGGGTACATAATAGACAAGTTAAAAAGCCAACGGATCCAAAATTTGCTTCATTTTTGTCAAATGTTGGATGTGTTTAGAATTTCACGCGAACGCAATGCAAGTCTTGTGAAAGAGTTATGGGTAACAATGAGTCATGTAAAGAAAGATGTTTTTCGTCTTGTCGCGAGCGTGGAACAAAGGAAAAAAAACTGACTCCCACGCTTGTGACAAGACGAAAAACATCTTTCTTTATTTCTTTACCGAGTTCAAAACTTACCATCTTTCTTATTTCCATCTACAGTGGGTCATGTAGTTGCTCAGTGTTTATAATAATGAGAGTAAAGCTCAGGAGAGAGCTGAAAAGAACCAACACTTTTTAGCTAGACTTCTGTCCACCATCTCACAGTTTTCATTTACATAAGATCATCCTGTCTTATTTTCAGCCAATAGCTTATTACCACGCATAGAATAATCTGGGTTTTACAGCCATAACACTTGACAATAGTTGAGATGTCTCGTAGACACCAGATGTAAATTAATGATCATATGCAAAGAACTTATTAGCAACGGAAACAAGCTGAAAAGCGACTTTGTGCGATTTTAATGAAAGAAATACGTATCAAGAACTCAAAAACATATATAGTATGGAGAGGTTGTTTTATTTTTTTCAACTCGGACAACAGCAGTATACTTCTGCTTTTTCTGATAACTTAAACGGTTTTTGCATATAAATCACTGATACTTCTAAAAAAGCAGCAATGACATCATAGTAATAATGGCAGTATCCATGATAATAATGAAAATAATAATGATAATGGAGATAATTATAATAATGGAAATACTAATGATGAATATAGTACATGTTTAAACGAAAGCATCCTAATCACTATCACTATCTTTGTCATGGCGCTTTAAAAGAACTGACAAGACGTCGAAGTTTTTTTCTCCGGCCATACATGAGCTAATTGTGATTTCCATGTAATCCGATGTCCGTAAACACCGTCTGATTTAACAGACAGAACAAAAAGGAAGATATGATAGACTTTATATTTTCGATTTTGTCTTTTCATGAAAAAATCTATTAGTTCCCAGAAAACTGTTATTATATTATTCTTGCTTCCACGATTTTTCGGGTATTAATTACAATCATTGCCGTCTTCATCATTCTCCGAGTCGGTTATGTTAGACATTGCTCTCGGTAGGATCGCTCCCTTTGCACAACACACCATTGACTACTAGAGTTTGCTTTGTCTTCATTGGAACAATTGGCGTAGAGTATGTTTCTCCAATGCTTGGCATTGATGACCTCTGAGATCTTCTCGCGTTCAGATAGGCTCGTTTTCCACTAAGAATTTTCTCCAGGGCTCTACGAAAATCCGGTTTCATGAACGAGTACAAAACAGGATTAACAAGAGATCCAAAAACCACACAGAAAGGCGAGAAGTCCAGTAAAAGCGTAGGAACCACTTCTTTATGGCCCACGGCGTTCGCTGCCGACCAAAATAAACTTGGAAAATAACTCAACACAAACATAAATGATGCTACAGCGAAGACCCTCGCCACTTTAGCTTCAGAGGAAATCTTCCTTGGCGTACATTTTTTTTTCGTATCCGCTTTCGAAGCATGCGAAGAGATGCTCAGTTCTCGCTCACGACGCACACATTGCCTCACTAATCGAAAGATCTTATAATTTGCACAGACTATTAGGACGTAAGGTAGAGCTATACAAATGATGAGAGAGAGGACGATGTAAATTCTTGTGTGGAGAATTGTCGTACCTCCTTCCCATGTAAGCGGTATACATGCGACCACCACCGAGAAGATCCAAATTACTGGCACGACGATTTTGAAAACTTTCGCTATCGTTTCAGCGTATGAAAATGGGTGCAAAATTGCCAAGTATCTGTCATAAGTCACTGCGCAGAGATTTGATGCCCCCACGAAAAGCACAATAGCGTACAAGACGTTAAGTGCTGCTCGAGACCATTCGTGGAGCTTGGCGTTATATTGGATGAGGATAGCAACACCTGTCACAATATCAGAAATGGCGAGCGATACTACAAATCCATTGGTGTAGTTGCGCATTGATTTGACCTTGTACACCAACAGGCAGACAAGTGTATTGGTTACTATAACGCTCACTGATAAAATACTGAGAGGAATAACCAGTTTGAGTGAGTATGCTTGGGACATCTTGAGTTATGAAAAGCTCCGTGGAGAGTCGTGCTTTTGGCGTTGGTGGCGGTTGATGTGATGTGTCCAACCGTCAGTCAGCGCTGATTATCCGGCAAGCTGTTTAATAAAAATTCTTCCTCCTATCTTGAAGATTGCTCACTCTTGCAGTCCGAGTAAAATCTATTTAGTTTTAAATGATGAAGACTGCATTTGTTTCAGCCAGTTTCAAATGATCGACTGCAGACGGTGACACCTTGAAATTATGCTTTCTTTTAAATAACAAGGGTCTTTTTGTTTTCGTTACCTCTCTGAAGCCCTGCAAATAGAGAAGAACACTTGTGAATGGACTGTAAATAGAGAAGGCTTAGTAATGGAGTGTTCTTGAGAACTCGCGACTCGGAACTCAAAAATTGTTGCATATGTTTCGTTTTCGAGATCATGGCTGTGGCAATTTACCCAAAATCTGATATTTTTATTGTGGATTTAGCAATTAGTTGAATATATCAAGTTCTTTTCAGAATTGATATTTTGGTTTGCCGTATATTGGCTGTTCACAGCGGCTACATATTTTAGACCTGGTAGATTAATTTATTACCTACACGAACTGAAAACTTACCGACTGTACACAAACATGAAGAGTATACGTACGTGTCCTTACATTGTGAACAGGTCACTGCACTAACAATGAAACAATCCTAATAGTTCGATTGTTCTGCTTAGGAACGATGTTCACTCGAAAATCACTGTATGAATGAATTATGTTTTTTTGTTTTTTGTTTTTTTTTTTTTCAATTACTAGTCTCCTAGAGCGACTAGCGCCATCCATCATCCGCAACAAAGAGGATTTGTTGGTGAAGAAAAACACGCTTTTTACGTTGTTTGTCAAGTAACCAATATCCCCTAAAGAATAAACTCACTTCCGAGAAAATTGTCTCTGACGCTCATCGTATTATGATCTCCTTGCCAAGCAAATAGGTTTGTCCATCTGCACCAAATGTCCTCTATTACTCTCGCATGTTTTATTTTCTTGCGTATCAGTTTTTTGTTCTGTTTTAATTTTTTTTTCAAGTCAAGTTATGTCCAGGCAAGAGAAGCAAATCGCCGTGCAATAACAGGAATAGATGTATGTTATGATGTTATTGTCTTGAAGGTAATGCGGATGTGGTTTTCACACTTTCGACTGTGCGCCAATCCAAATTGATCATTTTTGGAACGCAGCTGTCAAAGCAAAAAATCACGACAGATATATTGAAAAGAAAACGGAAGAACTCTATAAAATAGCATTACCAGGATCGTTTTGAACTTGCTCCATCACCTTTCTAATAATTCAAAATTATGGAAACGGAGAGGAGGTAAACGCTCTTCGTACACCGCGACAAGATCTACACTAATCAATTTGGTGTTTTTATGTTCGGCGTCCGCATGATAACATGATTTTGCAAATTTAATCAGGTTAATCTCTTGGTTTGTTTGTTAGCATTGAATTTGCATTGACTAAGTGTCGGTTCTTCTAGACCAGTTTCCTTTATTTAGTCTCGAATTAAGAGCGCCCAGTTCATGTTATTAGATAAAAAAAAAAACCTTCATTTGAATGGAGTACTTCCTAACATGTACAATAGGCGGAAAATATACAATTATATTTAAAATCATGTATGAACAAAATTATCCGTCAAAATTCGCAATGCAACCCTTTGCTAAACAACCGCATGAAAACCAACTTTTCGAAGTAATCTCGAAGAGATGTTATCAAGATGAGTTATCAAAAGATTTCCACGTGATTTCAAGCGAGAAGTAGGTCTCTGAATTGATATGCTAGGGAATTTTTTTTTTTTAACAGAAGTTTCTTTATCTTGTTCTATTCCCACAGAACTGCGGCTTGCACATTATGCGTTTACTTCATTTTCAAAGTTATAACTTAGCATGTAAAATTGGTTTGGCAAATTTAAAGTGGCACACGCCCTTCTTTAAGTAGAATGACAAGTTGCTATGGACTCATGTTTCAACGTCACGTACGATGCAATCAACCCCATAAATCTACCTTCGCTTGAGAACAAAATTAACTTCTACTGAAAGCATGACCGCTATTCAAGTAAAAACATAACTAAGCATCTCCTCATTGAAGATAAGATTGAAGATATGCGTTGAGATTTGCCAAATTTATAATTTATGTCGATTTCGATGTGCAAGTTACAGATGGATTATCTCCAGTGCGCACAGAGTTGCGACCAACAAAACTTTTTGAGGGGACTGGACTTACACTCTAAAAAGAGTAATTACTAAAAAGTATTCTTGTTTTTTGAGAGTGGGGTATCTAGGTACTTACAATAAATAACATGCCATCCGAACAGCTAAGTTCAGCGAGTAACTTTCTGTTACCTGTGCACGACTTCACAGTCTTTCAAAATGTGTTAGCAAATCCGAGTGTTTTAAGTTTGCGATCACGTACTGCATGAAATGAACTAAATTAATCTTTTGTGAGTAAGTGTTACTTTAAAGATGTACTTCACCTTGAACGTTGTGTACTATAATTAAAGATTTACAGAATATTTTTCTACCAATAACGGAGAGCAATAGAAACCACACGGAGTGAAAAAAGGAAGTAAAATTTCCCAAAAATCAATCATCGTCCTAACTGCCAAAAACCCAAAGTTTATCGCTTTGATTATGCCGTCAAACTAAGAATAAAAAACCTGATGTTTTCAAAAAATTTAGTAGTTGGTCAAATCTAATGTCCTTCCACAAAGTAAATTTTTTGTCCATTGACATGACAAAGACAGGGATTGAAATGAAAGAATCATCCTTCCAAGGTTGTTTGAGAATGACGATAGGTATATTGTTGTAGCTTTGTACATATCAGGCTCAACGGTCACGCCATGTACCAGTAAATTTGACGAAACAGATTCAGGGCAGAAAATTTTGGAATTATCAGAAAAACCCATGAAATAACTGAACAAGTAACGTACCGAGGAGTTGAGATCTTTCTGTCGATTCCTCTTCAGTCATTTGCATTCATCTCTAATTACATGATTGCGAAACACGAAAGACTCATTAATTTTGAATGACTTTATTTTGAAGCTGGTTCTTCAATATTAAAACCCGAGCTGTTTGAGAAAATATATGCTAGGACAATTGATAGATTACAAATGCCCGTTACTTAGCCTCAGGATGTTTTTTTCGTTTAGTTGCGAAATGTAATCAGGTGCTGATTCATTGATAGGTTACCAAAACTCATCATGGCCAGATTGGAAACGATTGTTTCCCTCTCATTCAGTTAATAGTCATATTACCTTCAATTAATTTACTCTAATTCAATGCTCACCAACATAACAAAACCAGTATCGAAATAAATCGGTGAATCAGTAACAAAATCAGAGAAAAATGTAAAAGAAACATTGCGTTATACACGCTCAATGCTTAAATGAAACCACACGAATTACGAAACTGTGGAAAATCTGATCACCATTGATAATAAACTTTTCGCCCGAAAATCTCTGAGAGTAACAAACAATGTTCTAAATAATATCCTTGGTGGCCTGTAAACAATTTTTTCAGGAGTACAACTGATTTTCCCACTCATGTAGAGTTAAATTGTTTCCTCCAAGTTGGAGATAAGATTACATGTTAGATGCTTACAATTTTGCTTGTTGTATTCGCAGTAATACTGTGAGGTGTTAATGCATCAAAATATAAACAAGTTGGACCGCCTGCACACGTAGCGGAAGGTAACAGCCTTAAAAGAAAGCTTACAATAAACACATTTGTCATTTTGCTCCATAAACTAACGAATTCAAACTAGTTGAGTAAATGGTCGGATTCAAAACGATTTTTTCCCCTTCTTTAATTTAAATCGATATTTTTAATTTAGAATCGATGTGACCTTCATAAATGTTTAATGCGAGCGAAATCTCTCAGTCTTATTATCTTCCGAACTAACTAGAACACTCCTGACACAAAATTATTTTGTTTATTTCACTGAGAACCATCAGTAAAAACAAGTGCATTTTATATAATATGTTACCTTAATATTCTGCCTTAAACCTTCCACATAGCTAATAAACAATAAACTGGTTGTCTTTGTTAGCATTTTCAGCATTGAATGATTTAAGACAACGTCACCTCATCAGATAAAAGCAATTACTTCAATCCGGACCAATGGTGCGCTAGATCTGATTACGGTTTCCTAGGGAAAATAAGCTGATGTATCTTATAACTTTTTACAAGGTTATGCAGTATTTCTGAAAGACCTGAATGACATGATATTTGCTGATTTGAAAAAAGCCTTTCTGACGTAGACTTTTATGTGAAATCACAGGAGATGAAGAAAATAATGCTATATAGAGTTGACTAACTGTGATCGATACTATTATGTTTGGGTTTTGCCTTATAAATATCAAGAATTCCCCTCCGACGTTAGTAAGCCTTGCAAAAAAAAGCATCATCTCTATAATAACCAAATATGAATCAACATATTTAAATTTAATAGTTACAAGTGACTTGGGAAACTACATGTAGCAGAGAAACATTTATTTCCTTTCTTTATTTCAAGCTTTTCAAGAATATCACACAAAATATTTTTTTTTTGCGTTCGTTGTTGAATGTGAATGGGACAGGCATTTTGGCCTTAAAGGAAGAAATTTTGATATCAAGTCTAGCCGTGCATAAATTTTTTTTAGTTTTTACTGCATTCTGAACAACTATTTTACCGAAGGAAAGTCAATTTTGTTTTTTCGATAACATCGCAGGTTGAACTAAACAAATCCCTAAGTTTCCTTGGTATCTATGGATATTTAATTGGCTGAGTTAACCTTGGTCTCTGCAAGTGAATGTCAGTCCTGGATCCGTAATTACCCGTGAAAATTATTACATAAAGGAAATCCTTTGTTACATCTCAATTTTAGCATCGATTTACCTTTCTACGTTGGCTGTTTTCGTTAACCAAGAATGATTAATTTCATTCACCTCACGTATGCAGTACCAAACAAAGGCCAACAGCTAGGATAAAAGCAGTGTGGTCAGCT